TATATATATATGTGTGTGTATATATATGTGTGTGTGTGTGTATATATATATGTGTGTGTATATATATGTGTGTGTGTGTGTATATATATATGTGTATATATATGTGTTTTTATATATGTGTGTATGTGTATCATTTTCTTTCTGCTTGTTTGTATAAGCAAAGTATATTTAGACAAGAATTTACTAGATGAAGCAAAAGTTAAGTGTCTGACATGTTAAAACTGCTCAAATTGGAGATGGTCGAGCAGGAAATGTTGTAAAAGATAGCCGCTTTGAGATAGGATGAGCCTACTAAACTATGACCCGAAACTAGTTGTCATTTCGTAAACGCTATTAAACTCATTACAGTATCTTCACGTTGCAGTCTTCAAATCAGAAGCAAGGGAAAATTGAGTCTTTTAATTGATTTTTGAGGAATCTTAAAAATTCTTAAACCCAATCAAAGGCCTCTTTCTATTTACTTTGTTTGTTTGTTTTTCTCCTGATGGTTAGTAGTTACATAGGGATTCTTCGCTGTATACCTGATATTTTATTTTCATTGTGATAACGTTCTTACAGACACTGAAATATGCCTTCCAAACCCACGATCGACTCTGTTTTGTAATGGAATATGCTAATGGAGGCGAGGTGAGACCCCATATCCTACATCCATAATCAACTCATCAGTCATATGGGATGCACCCAGTTCAAGAGTTAACCATTTACACGTAGACAGATCTTGTGTAACACCAGGTAAGTCCTTGACTCTCTCTGCTCTGTTTTCTTCAGCTCTTCTTCCACCTCTCACGTGAACGAGTCTTCACAGAAGACCGGGCACGTTTCTATGGTGCTGAGATTGTATCAGCACTTGAGTACCTCCATTCACGTGATGTTGTTTACCGTGATTTGAAGGTGAATACGACACACAAATCCATCATTTCATAAATGCCCCGTGTGCAAGTATGACTGCAATCATACTACAAACTGAATCTTAATTTGTTTATAATCACACACCAAGGGAAATGTTGCAAAATTTGAGAGCTTGTAGAATAAAATGTGTTTAGAAAAAAATTAAACTTGTATTTTGAAATTTTCATTATTATTTTGTGCTTTCACAAGTGTGTTAAATTTAGTTACAGAATAAACATGCACAAATAGACTTATATTTGCAAAACCAAAATTTAAATTTCGAATTTAAATTTTACGTATATTTTTACAAGTTACAACCAAAGCTCTGTGATTGCAACCTCTCAAATTAGTGAATACAACTGCTCAATTGCATCCTCTCGAGTTACAAATTCATGAATTTCCTCGCTTTGACATTGGCAACACGTCTTACAGTAAATGTGTTGTAAAACTCGTACTTGTAGCTAAAGAGGTGTTGGTAGGGCGGACAGAGCGGTCATCCAGTCAAAAGCAGAAGACCAAGAGGTCTCATTTTTCACTGTCCTCTGTATGCCATGCTGGATTCACTACAACAGAACAATTGTAAGTTTCCCTCAAAACGTTGCTTTTGCACATTAACACTGTGAATAATGACAAAATCAACACAAAGGACAAAAATCCTCAATCCTTATGAGAGTCAAGAACAACTTGACGCTGCACCATCGAGAGCATCCTGACCAACTGTATAACAGTCTGGTACGGGAACTGCTCTGCCTC